TATATATATATATATATATATATATATATATATATATATATATATATATATATATATATCATAAAAGTTTTTAAAAAAATCTCATACTTTTCCATCCTTCATCCAAGAGATTGATGGCTTAGGCTCACCGGACACTTTCACTGTAAGCTTAATAATAGTATCTGCAGAGGCTGAAATGTCTTTTAGTTCTGCTGAGAAGGTTGGCTTGGATGCTTTTTCTTTTGGAGTAGGTGATTTTACCATGGGTGGGGACTTAACTCTTGGTGGAGATTTAAATGGTTCTGGTGATTTAATTCTCTGTGGAGACCTAATTCCAAATGGTGACTTTATACGGGGGGACTCTGGAGATTTCACTCTTGGAGGAGAAGCAACAACCTTCTGTACAGGTGTTGGTTTACGAACAGTTAGACTGAACTGTGCCTCCTGTTTACCTTGAGAGTTCTCTACCACTACAGTGTAATTGCCTCCATCTGACGTTTCTACTTGGGTAATCTCAAAGGTCGATTTATATTCAGTTGAGGTAATATGGTGACGATGAGATGACACAATTACTCGCGTCTCTCGCATCCATGTTACAGTGGGTGCAGGCTCACCATCAACATCACATGTGAATTTAACAGATTCTCCCTCAGATACTGTGAGTGACTGTGGTTTAGTCAAAATTGTAGCTGGGAGAGTTGGCTTCTTTTCCTCAACCACTTCTTCCACTACTGTTGTCACTTCTGTAGCTTCAAGTTCAGTCTCAGAAATTTTCTCAACCACAACTTCCTCAACTGCTGTCACTTCCATAGTTTCAAGTTTGATTACAGATGTTACCTTCTCCTCCTCAACAACAGTCTCAATTGTCTCTTCTATCTTGTCTGTTTTAATTTCAGATACTTCCATTTGTGTTTCTGATACTGATGCTGCTTTTGTAGATGAAACATGATAAACATCTGTTTTTGTCATCTCAGGGACAAAGGGAGTTGGTGGCTCCTCATCTTTACGTTGCGAGGCATATGCAGAAAATCCTCCACCAGCAACATCGAGAGTGGCATAGTCAGAGGCCTCTCCCTTTGCATTTGTGCAGACAACACGGTAGGTGCCACTGTCCTCTTCCTGACAATCAATGATTTGAAGAGACAAAACGCCACTCATGTTAAATATATGGTATTTTCTGCTTTCTTCAATCTGCAGTCCATTGTGGTACCATTTAATCTGTGCTTCTGGCTTCGATTGGACATTCATTGTGAACTTAGTGTTTTGACCAATTGGCACACGGTGAGAGCACATTCTTACTGTCACTCTGGGTGTATGGTCGAGGGTAAAAGGCTGCTGGGTCACAATTTCAAACTTCCTCTCAGTTTTCAAGGCTTTCTTTCTTGACTCATACCTTGACATATAATCAATTTTTGTTGATAAGTCTGGTGTAGTGTCTGCTTTCTCAGTAGAATCAAGGCTGGGGGAACGTGGGCGTGTCTTTTCAAGGGAAGTTGTTCTAACCACTTCTTTTTCTGCCAGAGCTGCAGAAGGTTTCTTAGGACGAGTTGCTGTAGCATAGCCAGGAGAGAATGATGTTGTAGGTATTTCAGTTAGGACTGCTGCCTCAGTTACTGCTGACACAGAAAATCTTGTTTTCTCCTTTCTTTTGACCTTTGTTTTCTCCTCGAACTCAATGTGCTGCAGTTGGCTCTTGTAGGAAGTTAATTTTGTGGCTGTCGTGACAGACCTAAGCAGTTCCTGATCCTCTTTTTCCTCATATAACCTTTGTTTTTGCCTTGGAGGTCTGTATGTTGCCCTATCGTGACGCTGACATAAGTCAATATAGCTTGGACCAGCTTCATATTTAGATGGAATACGGTAAGAGTCATATGTTGGAACTTCCTCCCCTTCCTCCTCATCATATGCAGCTCTCTTAGGTGATGGGTGACGCAGTGCAGAGAGTTCAAAGCGTACAGGGCTAAGACTTGGTGGAGAAGCAGAATAGCCTAACTCAAGTTCATCCTCGAGTTTAAGTCTTTCTTCTTCTGTTCTCTTCATTGACAAGTATTCTCTAACAGGCAGAAGCAGTTCCTCATCAGAAAGATCACCAAGAGAGCGTCTCCTGATTCTGTAGTAAGCCTCCATCTCTGGAGAAGGTGTGCGGTGTCTTGCTGGCCTTACAGTCTCAAGGTCATCCTGTGAAACAGGAATATGCCATTTTGGCTTGTATTGGTCATTAATTCTTGGCAGGGGTACTTCATAGAACTGATCCCATCTTGACAGTCGGATGCGCTTAAGTCTTTTCTGGGGGAACTTTTCTATTGGCTCCGGGAACTCATATTGATCACGGAGTTTCTTGTACCACTTCATATCAGAGAAAGGAACAAAGTGTTTGATTTCCATATCCTCCTCAAGAGCAGTAGGAGCAACAACACGAGGTGGAGGAATAACATACGGCATTCTCAGCCTCTTTTCTTCTGCTCTCTTCTTTTTCTCCTCTTTTTCTTTGGCTTCCTCAGCTTCACTCTTGACTTTCTTGGTAGTGATTGCTGGCTTGAACATAGTTGCAGCTTCTCTTAGTGCTTGCTGTGCGACTGGAGTAAGTGGGGTAACATCTGCACCTGCTAGTATCTGAGTTAGTCTTACTTTCTTGTCCATCTCTTGCTGATCAAGATCATGTTTCTTCTTCTTTTCTTCCTCACTCTCCTCCTTCTTGATGTGTGTCACACGTTCAACCTTGAGTGTGGATTGGCAACTTGCAGACCCAGCTGAGTTAGTTGCAATGACTCGGTATGTGCCCGAATCCTCTGGAAGAGTATCTCTTACATGTAAGACATAGTAATCTAAGCCTTCATGCACAACTTCAATTTGTGGACCAAATGCCAAAGGCATGCCATCTTTCTCCCATTTCAATGAAGGATGTCCTGACACTCTCATTTCAAAACGTACACTCTGGCCTTCTCTGCATTCCAAGTTAGCAAGAACACGTTTGAACATAGGTCTCAAAGTGTTATCAGCAGGAGCAGGACGAGGGATCACTGTGAGACGAGCCTTGCAACTGTCATCACCAAATCTGTTCCGTGCCACAACAGTGTATTCCGCATCATCATCTGGGTCAAGTTTGTGAATAACTAACTGATACAAGCCCTTATCACTAACAAAAGTGTATTTCTTGTCATCATCTCCCGGCATAATCTTTTGACCAGTTTTCAACCACATTACACGAGGTTCAGGATGCACTGTGATTGTGACACCAAAGCGCACATCCTCTCCAATGTAAGCTGTGCGGTTACACAATGGCAAAGTGAATTCAGGAGGTCTTTGGAGTAGTCTTGCTGTGTCAACTCTACGTTTTACTTTCTTTACAACACGTGTAGTGTAGAACTCACGATAGGATCTTACTCCTTTGACAAAGAGCTCGGAATAGGCACTGTCCTCACCATACTCATTGACAACTTTACATCTGTATGTTCCATCATCAGTTCTTGTGATTCCCTTGATAGTTATGGTAGCAAGCCCATCTTCATAAGTAATTTCGTATTTAGTGCCTTCTTCTAGTTGTCTTACTCCACAGTACCATGTTACTTCGGTGGTGCTATCGTAGTTATCAATGTTGCAAATGAGCTTGATATCATCACCTTCATCAGCAGCACTGTGTTTAATTTGTCCTGCAACTGGTCCATGTTCAAATGGTGCAATCTTCACTTTAGAGACTGTTACTCCCCGCTGACTTCTGATAGCACCACCACTGGCAACACGAGCAGATGAGACAACAGTGTTCCATTCTTTCCTAACCATGGCTTGGTAATATCTCTTATGGCGAGTAATCTTGATGGACCTAGTGCTTAGCTGCTCTGAGTTCATTGTCAGCCAAGGATGATTCAAAGCCTCAGCAGCGGTCATACGATGTTTGCGCTCTTTGGTTAGTAGGCGGTCCGCAAAGTCTAATGCCTCAACACTTACATGCTTAAAGGCTTCATCATTAAAACTGTACTCAGCATTGCAAATGCTCTCAATCATTTGCTGATTAGTTTCAGCGGCAAATGGATTAAATCCACTGAGAAGAACATACACAAGAACACCGACAGACCACATATCTGTCACAGTGCTAACCATCTCGTTTTGATGAATTTCTGGTGCCGCCATCTCAGCTGTTGTGTACTGAATCTTAATTTGGTCCCCAGGTGTAAGGTGTCTAGACTGTCCAAACTCAATGATCTTGACATTAGTTCCCTTTCTTGTGGTGTACACTATATTTTCAGGCCTGATATCAAAGTGGCCATAACTCTTGCTGTGAAGGAATTCAAGAGCTTCACATACTTGTCTGATATAGTTAACAATTTCACGCTCATTTAGCTCAAAATTGGCTGTACCAAGGCGCTCAAATATGTCCACACCAGAGATGAACTCATAAACCATGACTAGTTCTTCAGGGCAGTCAAATGACTCATGCAATAACAAGAAGTTCTTGTGGCGTGCCACATTCAGTGTTGCAATTTCTTTCTTCACTAGTGCCTGATCTGCACCTCTTACTTTGACAAATTTAGCCATGTAAGTTTTCTCAGAGCTGGTTTCAATGCACCGGTGAACAATACCAAACTGTCCATGGCCAAGCTCTTCAGCAATCATGTACTTCTTGTGAACATTCTTAGCCTCTGAATGAGGAGCTTTGCTTTTGGAAACTGGCCTGGTGTCATCAACTTCTTCATCATAGGTAAGAACTCTTGATTTGTCTTCCTTCGTTACAACAGGTCCACTTGGATCAGACGGTGCACTCTGACCAAATTTATTTTCAGCTATGACACGGAATTGGTAACTTGTCTTTCCAAACAGATTGACAACAGTATAGTGGGTGTCACGAGACTGGCCAACACGAATCCATCTTTCTGCTGTGGTGGCACATTTTTCTATGATATAGTTTGTGACCTTACTTCCACCATCATTGGCAGATGTTACCCAGTGGAGTGTTACAGAATCTCTAGAAACATCACTGGCTTTGATGCCACGTGGTGGATCAGGCACATCTGCAACATCAAGCTCAACTGTTTGCTGGTCAATTCCAAATCTGTTTTTGGCACACACAATATAGAAACCAGCATAATTCCTTTCTACTCCATTCTGGAATACAAGAGATGTGAAAGATCTTGTGACAATGACTTGATAGTGTCCATCATTATCAAGAAGGTCTTGTCCCTTCTGCCAAGTGATAACTGGATCTGGTTTTCCACTGAATGGAATTTTGATGTTCACAACTTCACCACGAAGTGCAGGGATAGCCTCCTTTCCTTGCAGATTCTTAGATAGATGAATCTTAGCAGGGACTGAAAAAAAAGAGAAAATTTTAATGCATCACTTTGAAATTTTCTTACAGACAGAATTGCGGGTATAGCCAGTTAAAGTATATAAAAATACTGAAAGCTTACTTTCTACATCTAGAGAAACAGTAGCAGAAATGGATCCACCCTGGTTTGTTGCTCTGATCTGATATACAGTTGAGTCTTCTGCATCACAATCAGCAATAACAAGCTGCTGGTAGCCTCCCTTGAATTCTTGGATCTTGAATTTGGTGCCATCAGCTTGAATTTCCTTACCACGCTTGAACCATTTTATTACAGGCTTGGGCTGTCCTGTTATCTTGCAGACAAATGTTGCATTGCTCTTGAATTTTACACTCATGTTTCTGAGATCTTCCTTGAAGGCAGGAGCACGCACTTCAACATCATTATTTGGAATGGCAGGGTCAGATACTTCACTGTACTCACTTTCACCACCAAGGTTTTCACATTTCACCCGGAATTCATACTCAACACCTTCTGTCAGGCCCTTGACAGAATAAACAGTCTGGTGGATTTCATCTGTTGTAACTGCAACCCATTCACCCTTCTTCTTATCTCGCTTTTCAAGACAATAGTTCTTAATTTTAGAGCCTCCATCACTGAGAGGTGGCTTCCAAGACACAACACAGGAGTTTTTGGTAAGTCCAGAAACAACTGGTTTTAATGGAGCTCCTGGCCTCTCTGTAAACATACATTTTAATATACATTTAAATAACACTAAAAAACAACATCAACAACATTCTTTAATCATGTTTCTTCATTACTTACGTAGCTGACTCTTGATGAGGATAGCAGAAGGCGTTTCCAGTGATTCACTATTGCCATAACGATTTTGTGCTGAAACACGGAAGTAGTATCCCTCGTTTTCAACAAGGTTAGGAATTCTGCATGAAGTGCCTGTGATAGATGATGATACAAGTTCCCACTCTGCTCCTTCCTTGTCTTCACACTTTTCCACAATATAATTTGAGATCATAGATCCTCCATCATCTTTGGGTGCTTTCCAGCTAATTATCACAGAATTCTTCAACAGTGCATCAAGTACAAGAGGACCTTCTGGCATAGCAGGTTTATCTGAAAACACAAAGAATAAGTTAATTAGTCTTATTTCCACTAATATTTACCAGATTTTTAAAAATTATTAAGCATTATTAAGCATATACCTAAGATTTCAACGTGAGTTACAGTATCTGCAGCCCCAAAATGGTTGTTAATCCTAATTCTGTATTTTCCTCCGTTTATTCTGCGCTGTACGTTTTTGAGAATCAAATGAGTGTAATGCTCTGTATTTTCAATTATCACATTCTCAGAGGGTTCCAAAGCCTTGGCTCCATAAAGCCACATTATCTTAGGCTGAGGTCGACCAATGTAAACAACATGTATGCGCACTGTGCTACCACATGTTGCAAAGAATTTGTTTTTCAGTGGCACTGGGAACTGTGGTGCTGCTTCAAGGACCAGAGTTCCACTGGTCTTACACTCGCCGGCCTCATTCACAGCCTTGCATGTGTACAGACCCTCATCTTCCTGTTGATCGGTTGAAATCGTCAGTGTATGATTACGGCCATCCGAGGTTGCTGCATATTTGCGACCTTCTTTGATTTCCTTTCCACCCTTGTACCATTTAATTTCTGGAACAGGTCTTCCAAGTACAAATTCTGTATTTTCCTCCGTTTATTCTGCGCTGTACGTTTTTGAGAATCAAATGAGTGTAATGCTCTGTATTTTCAATTATCACATTCTCAGAGGGTTCCAAAGCCTTGGCTCCATAAAGCCACATTATCTTAGGCTGAGGTCGACCAATGTAAACAACATGTATGCGCACTGTGCTACCACATGTTGCAAAGAATTTGTTTTTCAGTGGCACTGGGAACTGTGGTGCTGCTTCAAGGACCAGAGTTCCACTGGTCTTACACTCGCCGGCCTCATTCACAGCCTTGCATGTGTACAGACCCTCATCTTCCTGTTGATCGGTTGAAATCGTCAGTGTATGATTACGGCCATCCGAGGTTGCTGCATATTTGCGACCTTCTTTGATTTCCTTTCCACCCTTGTACCATTTAATTTCTGGAACAGGTCTTCCAATAATCTGACATTTGAGAGTTGCAGTTTGTGCTAGTTTGGCAGTGACCTCATCCATCTCTTTCCTGAGAGCTGGTTTAGTTCCAACTAGGAAAATAAATTAATTAATTAAAAGCAGGGACAGCTATAGTGAGATTTTAGTCAAATACATTTCTCCTCTCAAAAATATTTGATACTGACAAATCACAATACATTCAACAATACTTCTTACGTTATTTCAAACCATACTTACCACCCAGTTTAGTTTTGATGCCAGTTGCTGTTCTGCGTGGTCTGCTAATTCCGGTTTCATTTTCAGCAAATACTCTGAATTCATATTCTGTTGCCTCTTGTAGACCACCCTGAGTGTACTGTTTGTCCTTTGTGTGCTCCTTATTGCATTTCTTCCAAGCACTCTCTCCAGACTTTCGGTATTCAATCCAGTAGCCAAGGACTGGTTTTCCGCCATCACATGCTGGAGCCTCCCAATTAATTGTAATGTAGTCTTTGGTAACAGTCATAGTGTCAATTTCTCCTGGCTGGCTTGGTTTATCTAAATACATCAATAATACAATAACATGTTATTTTTTTATTAAATAAAGACAATAATTTTAAATCAATTAATGAATAGAGAAAATTAATAATGAGGCCACACCAAATGGATCTTTGCATATTACTGAATCTGATGCAGGTCCTGGTTCACTCTCTCCAATGTCATTCACAGCAATTACACGGAACTGATACTCGGAATCAGTAGTGAGCTGACTAAGAGTATACATTGTTGAGGTAATCTTTGCCTCATGACGAATCCACTTATCAGACGACACTTCTTTGTACTCAATGAAGTAACCAGTAATGTGAGATCCACCATCATCTTTGGGTTTAGTCCAAGCCAAAGCAGCAGAATTCTTAGTAACATCCATAATTTCTGGTGGAGTGCCTGAAGCCTCTGGGACACCTAAATATTAATAACAAAAAATGAAAGAAAATGCTTTTATGTTTAATAACAAATTGCCTAGAAATGAGATCACTGACGAGCACTTACAAATGGGAGTCTTTGGTACAACAGTTGTCTCTGTTTTCAGTGAGCTGCTTATTCCAAACTGGTTCTCTGCTGTCACCTTAAAATGGTATTCAACATTTTCTTGTAGTCCCTTAACCACAAGGGATGTGTCTGTATTCTGATAGAAGCAGACGCTGTGCCAAACACATTCTTGATTTTGAGCTCATAGGTTCCAGTATTAAGACGACTAGCATCCTTAATGAGGATGGCAGATGAGTCAGTTGTGTTCTCAATTGACAGCTGTGCACTTGACACTAGCTCCTTTTCATCTTTAAGCCATTCAATAGTTGGCAAGGGTTTAGCAAATATTCCCACTTTGATTTTGAATGATGTACCAGCTTTGTATTGCACAACATCCAAATACTCTGGGGGCAGGTCAATTACTGGAGCACCTAAGAATGGGAGGAAACAGAACCGTGTGTAATAAAGTGTGAATAGTATTGCTGGGCATGATAACATGAGATAACCAACAAAGTAGCAGCAATAAACTTACCAGAAATGTCGACACAAGTTACTGGTCCTGCAATTAGAGATGGATTGCTGATCGAGCCAACTGCATTCTTGGCAAAAATCCTGAATTCATATGCCTGATCCTGAGTCAAGCCTGATACAATGAAGTTAGTATCAATGACATTGGTAAAGTTTGCCTTTGTCCATCTGCCATTTGGAGCATCTCTTCGCTCAACCATGTAGCCAGTGATTTTGCTTCCACCATCAAATGGAGGCTTCTGCCATACAAGGCTAATTGAATTTTTTGTAACCTCAGAAATTCTCACATTTGTCGGTGGTTCTAAAACAAAACAATGATTTGTTATTTGGCAATGAAATTCAGAGAAACTTGACAACGTATCAACTTAGTTTATATATTATTATTTGTATTATTAAAACTTACCACAGGCATCAATTGCTAGCACTTCTTCTGATGTCTTGCTGAACTTTCCAATACCAGCTGCATTTTCTACAGCTACCTTGAATTCGTAAATCATTCCAGGACATATATTTGTCACTCTAATTTGAGTTGCAGGGATTGCTGTTTTGTTCACTGTCTGCCAAAGAATGCTGCTTCTTTCTTTCATTTGGACATGGTATCCAACCACTGGGCTTCCTCCATCTACTACTGGCTCATTCCAGCAAACAGTGAGGCTCTCCCTTGACACATAACCCAGCCATGGTGTTGATGGTGGTCCAGGTATAGCTAAAAATACAATAAACCAGCAGAGGTTTAACAGAAATTCAGACATAACTAGAAGCAATTGCACATTATGTACATTATCTATGTACTCACTGTATGGAAGCTTCACTGTAACTGACTGAGAATCAATGTGATCACTGATGCCAAAGCGATTCTCAGCTTTAACCCTGAACTGGTATTGTTCTCCCTTTGTAAGTTTGGTGACTTTAACAGTGCTTCTTGCAATTGTGGAAGACACTTCTGTCCAGGCTGGAGTACTTGTTTCACGTTTAAGAACAACATAGTTTGTAACAGGACTGCCACCATCATACACAGGTGGGAGCCATTTGAGACACAAGCTTGTCTCCCTCACATCACTAACTTCAACAGGACCGACTGGAGGACCTGGTCTATCCAGGACCAGTATATTTACAAACATCTTGGTGGTTCCACTTGTGTTTGAGGCAACAATGTCATATCTTCCAGCATCACTTGCAGTACTTTCCTTGAGGTTGATATTAAGACGTTCAGGGGTTACTTCAAAGCTAAATCTCTTGCCGCTCTTAACTGGAGCATTACCTCTTGACATTGTGACTTTTGGCATTGGTTTACCCGAGAGAGGAAGCTCAAATTTAAGATTTGATCCTGCTCTCACATAAACAGTGTTATGTGGGAAATTCTTCATATCAAACTCAGGCGCATCTGTAAATAATAGTCAAAGGAAATGGACGTACAACATTAATAGATTATTTAAATATGATAAACATGGAATGAATTGAATGAATTAACACTCACCAAGTTGATCTTTCACAACCACAGGAATAATCATTTCTTTTGGTTCGCTAAGTCCAGCATGATTCTCAGCACGAACTCTGAAAAAGTATTCTGCATTTTCCCTTAGGTTCTTAATAATGTGGGTGTTGGCTTTAACAGTGGCACATTTAACCCACTTCTGTTGGCCCTTATCAAGGGCATCAATGAGGTAGCTGGTAATTCGGCTTCCACCATCATACTCTGGTTTTGACCATGCAATGGTGACGCTATTCTTTGTTACTGCAGTAACGCCAAGCCTAGCAGGTGAACTTGTTTTTTCTGTTGGTGCAAAGTTGAAATCATATTTAAAACACAAAATGAATAAAGTTTTTCTGAAACCTATTCTTTTCTCATTTTCAGACAAATAAACATGGAAATAATTGTACCTGTTATCTTGGTTCCATCTTTAGTTTCAGCAGTTACACCTGTTCCAAACTCATTTTCTCCAGTGATTCTAAAGTAGTAGATTGCACCTTCTTGCAAGTCTTCAACCCTGTATGTCAGACTGTGACAGTTGCTTGTTACGCATACCCAAGCCTTTTTGCTTGCTTCACGTTTCTCAACATGATAAGCCTTAACAGCATCTCCTCCATCATTCTCTGGAGGTTCCCAAGTAACTGTAGCAGAATCTTTTGTGACTTCAGTAATTTTCACATTAGTTGGTGGTCCAGGGGTGTCAAGGACTTTGACCATCACTGGCAAAGATGCTGTTCCAACACCATTGTCCAAAGTAACAATGTATTGTCCAGAGTCATTTCGTGTTGCTTTCTCAATAGTAACAGATGTGCATGTTTCTGTTGTTTCTATGCTTGCCCTTGCTTTTAGATCAACCTCCTCTTTATTCCATGTAACTGAAGGTACTGGCTTTCCTTTAAACAGAGCCGTCAAAGTAAATGAATTGCCATGCTTGACAATTAAAGTTTTTCGCATCTCAATGTCAATGTCAAATACAGGTTCCTCCTTTCTCTCCGTTGCTGACTGTGACTCAGAGACAGGCGACTGTTCACTGACACCAACTTTGTTGATTGCTTTAACAGCAAATACATACTGTACATCAGTTGTAAGACCAGAAATTGTGAATTCATTACTTTTTGTCATCTGAATAGCCACATTCCATTCTGTATCCTCAGAATTCTTATATTCTACACTGTATCCGAGGATCTGTGCACCACCATCAGATAATGGCTTTTTCCAGGCAATAGTAATAGAATTCTTGGTATGATCCAGAATCTTAGGTTTAGTTGGT